TTTCCTTTAATAGAGATCTTTTGTATAGCATTCTTACCAGTTATTTTCTTTCTCAGGGATGTGCAAAAAGCCACACAAAATTTCACTACTATTTTGGGGCAGGGTTCTTTTGGTCCAGTTTATAAGGCCACAATGGCTACAGGTGAGGTGGTGGCAGTGAAAGTCCTTGCATCAAACTCAAAGCAAGGCGAGAAGGAATTTCAGACAGAGGTGAACAGTTGTACTATTAACATGATAGTATTATAAAAACCCTTCTTTCCTTTTTCTTTTTCTTTTTTTTTTGTTTCTCTTTTTAACTTTATACTTTGCAAGACTGAACTGGATACTATGACCATCACGAATGTTTCATGATGTGGATTTGTTATTTTTTCTGTACATGAAGTCTTGGACATTGTGCATTATGACTCAATTGGGTAGTTTGGCTTAGTTTGGATTTTTTGCAATTAAACTCCATTTATATGATCATAAAAGTAGCTGAATTTCATTTTAAAAAGTTCGTTAAAACCAGGAGAGCATGAAGTTCTCGTTTAATTATATTCGAGAGAATAAATTCTTGGCTGCATGTTCTGTCTTTTTTGGCTTTGCACTAGCTATTACAATTAGATAATTGGTTCACTAATGTAATGCAATCAAATCGTATAGACCAGAGTTTAGCCAGGTGTTTCTATATAAGGATACTTCACTATGGTCCTTCTCTGTCACTTTTAACTTGGTCTACTTTTCAGGTGTTTTTGTTAGGTAGATTGCATCACAGGAATCTTGTCAATTTGGTCGGATATTGTGTAGATAAAGGGCAATACATGCTGCTCTATGAATATATGAGCAATGGAAGCTTGGCGAGCCATTTGTTTAGTAAGCTCCTGTACTTCTCCAATGCAATCATGTGTTCATGTCCATTGGTTGACTTTACATTTACAAGAATAAGAGCTTCAAAAAGTATAGATTGACAGAGCTCCAAAGTTGTAAAATGATACAAGTCACTCAAGTTTGGTGGACCACCTACGTTCATGTGAAAGTTATGTATGTAGGTGGTGCACCGACCTGAAGTGTCCACATGTCATGTTATAGTTTTAAAGAAACCACGAGGTTAATGAATAACCTGTATTAACCGATTTCTATATTTTATTATGTGTTCCTAAATAGTCATAAGAAAGAGCGGATTAGGCTTCTAGGAGAATGTCCTTCTACTTAGTTTTGTTACACGAACCAAGAGTCTTATCAGCTCTCATCCATATGATGTTGAACAATGACGCTCATTGTGGAGAAGCTTAGGGGTAAATACAGAAAATTCCACATAAATAAGACTCAGGGAAATCAAAGAAGGAACATGGACTACTGTTTCATGCATCCATATCATTTAAAATGCTGTCAACTTTGTCCCTATGGGGGACTCTATTTTCTGGGGCTAAACTTTGTTCAGGTCCCCATTTTGGATTAAACCCAAAATGGTCTGAACAAGTACTTTGAAGTTTGAATAAACCATTTGTGTAAGAAAGAAAAGGAAATATCCTATTCTTTGTTCCTTTAATGAACCTTGCTGGAGAATCGGTAAAGTCATTGTTTCACTCTAGGCTGCTAAAACCTCATCTCAAACTCCATCTATCTTATGGATTTAGGACCCTAAATACCTAAAACACATGAAAATCAGTTTTCATCACAAGAAAATGGATTTGGAGTTCTATAAAAGCTCCAAATGTTTATCTTCCAGAAGTAACAAACAAACATCTCAAAATTGATTTAGCATTCATTGAAATGGACAGTCCAAGATTTGATGTTGAGGTTGCAGTCAAGATGGAGCATTCTTAGGGCTCAAAATCCTTTTTTTAAGAACTCGTTTTGGAGGTTAAGAGGATGGATTTGCGATGTGTTTTGGGTACTCACTCATTTAAAATCATCAAAACATGAGTTGTAGTTGTAGCCGCTAAGGGATGCAGCCACGATTTTATGAAAATATTCTGAAAATTTTAAGCCTGCATTTCCATAATCTAAAAATTGAATGCCACTTGAACATAAGAGAGGATGATGTTAGTGTTAAATTCTACCCCTTTTGATGAACAAAACAAAATAGTAAAGCAAACTGCATAATACTATGAGTCTCTGAATCCTAGACAATTGAACACAACCCCACCTTAAAATGCAATATGTGCCGTGGCCAACCTTTAGTGGAAACCATAAATGGAAACACTGGATACTTATTTATCTAAATGCTAGACTCGACTGAGTCCGAGTCACCCCCAGAGTTGTGTGACAACTCGAGGTATTAAAAAATTCAAAAAAATAAAAAATTGTAAAAAATATAGTTATGTTATACAATATTTCCTTATATCATTTAGATGTATATGGCAAAGATTAGTGAGTGTTTTTTGCCATGAGTGTAGCTGGAATAAGAATGTTTGCATGGATGAGTGGCAAGACAAGAAAGATAGAATTAGAATGAATACATTTAAGGGCACCTAGGGATAGTTCCAATAGGCGATGAGGGAAAGTAGACTTAAGTGGGATAGCTATATGCCGCGCCGACCCAATACAACACTAGTTAGGAGATGCGATTTGGTTCAAGTAGAAAGTTTGAAAAGGGCAAGGGGAAGGCCCAAAAGGACATGGATGGAATAGTGAGACAAGATATGGGGACTTATGGTCTCACTGAAGGTATGACCCTCGGTAGAGCAGAATGGCAGAGCAGGATTTGTGTAACCGATTCCAAATAGTTGGGATAAGGCTCTTCTCTCAAAAAAAAAAAAAAGTTGGCATAAGGCTCTGATGATGATGATGATGATGATGGTGAGTGTTTTTTGCCATGATCACATTTTTATATTTATCTTTTTTTAAAAAAAAATTTAACAAACATCCCAAATTAGAAATTACAAACTCGTTTTTTTTTTAATGCATGTTTTAAATTTTTTTTAACCTTGTTTTAACTTTTTAGAGGTGTTTTAAGTTTAAAATTTTCTTAATTTTTTTAATGCTTTTTAGGCCTTTTGGCTCTGTGCTGGCCTGGCTGAGTCTTGAGGACTCAGCTGAGTAACTTACCATGGCTAGGGAGTGAGTGCTCTGGCCAAGTCGAGTCCCGGTACACTGTTCTCAAGTATGGCCCTTGACGACTACTTTTCTTTCCATCTTGTAATACCACCAACTATGTAGAAAAAGTTGTTTAACCACCTAACTTATACCTGCTTGCCTTTTAGAAGAAGTATTCTTTTAGAGGATTATCTTGCATGGTATACTGTATGCATGGCTTGCATGTCTCTCCACTATGGGTTTTAATTCTTTTACGAGTGATGTAGCTGAAAACTTTATTGAAGTAATGAAGAAAAAGATTTATCTGCATCATGGTCAGACGGATATTTTAGAGAAACTAGATATAAATATGAGAACTCCATTTTGCTACACTCAAAGGCGAAAATTTTTCTCATAGAATGTATTAAGGAGTTGATAATCCTATCTGCTCAAAGAACTTAGCATTCTAGATGGGAAGGAATCATTGGTGGAAGGAAAAAAAAAGCAAAAAAAGTTGATGATAATCCTATGTGCTCAAAGAACTTAGCATTCTAGATGGGGAGGTATCATTGGTGGAAAGAAAAAAAGCACGAAAAAAGTAATCCCAATTCCCAAATGTGCACTATCTGTACAAGCATGGGAAAACTTGGCATATCCAACTCGAAATCGCCTGAGTTAGCATAATGCCAGGTCTGGAACTGAACCCATGGGGACTGACTGAGTTTGGCCCCTTCTCAGTATTTTATTATTTTTTTGTTTGGACTTGGCCAAAACCTTGACCGACTCAGCTCAGGACCCTTGGGAGTCCCGATTTGGGACCTTGTTTTCCCACACTGATTTGTACTGTTTGAGGAGTAGTAATATATACAAATAGAGGGTTATAGGGTTCAAAAACTGGTAGCGATTTTGTAAGCCCTCAAAGAAAGGTGGTAATTGTGAAAATATCCAAAAAAAATCATACTTATTTTATTTATTTTAGGTGGGCAAGGGTCCGTTATGTAAAAGTTGTAGGTTAGTTTTTGTTTTTTTGGGCGAACTTGAAGGTTTGAACGTCAAACAATCCAGGTGTCTTACTTTTGAACAAAAAGGTTGAATATCTAAAAGGCATCCATTCAATTAGGCTTGCTGTAGACAATGATTATAAATTGTGCCTCATTTCCCTTCCCTCTCTGTCCTCCCTGTCAATCAGCTGAAACTTGTCCTTACTATTCTAAGAGAAAAGAGAACTAACACTCTCTTCATGGCATACATGTCTGAAGGTGAAGGTCCATGCAAGTTGAGTTGGGAGGAAAGGCTTCAAATAGCTGAAGATGTTTCACATGGAATTGAGTATCTTCATGAAGGGGTATGTGTTAAGTTTAATGCTCATCACTTTGCTAAAAACTTTTATGCCTTGAGGGCAGGAAATATAAGTCATTGACCCCATTATTCTTGTATCAGGCAGTTCCTCCTGTTATACATCGGGATATCAAGTCTGCTAATATATTATTAAACAGTTCGATGAGAGCAAAGGTAAGATTATTGAATATTCATATTGGGTAATGTTGGTTAATTCTCTTTTATGGTTATACTGCCTGTGTCAGTACGACTTGCTTATAGCTTTTGGTTTTTGACACCCTCAACATAAGCACCAAAGTACAAACTCCAGCTTATTGGTCGCAAAGGGTTAGAGTGAGACAATCCATATTGGCTTGCTTAATTAACTGCTCTGAACTACATGTCTAATTGGCAAAAGGCGCACAATTCTGGCAAACATAGTCTCCTCACTAGTATGTCTTGGCAAACAGTGAGTTGTTAAATTCTGAAAGGGGTTTTGGAAGGACAAAACTATATATGATGTGGAGTAAGGGCAACTCAATCATTTGTATCTTTTTATTATTGGGTTATATTAGGGTGCTCATACTACAGAGTATTTTATAATTCTACTCAACAAATTTTGGACACTTATATACTTTTGTTTTGTACATTGAGCATTTTGTTAGTAAAGGTACATTTGGTTATTAGGAGGGTGTGACATCATCCACAATGGGTGTGACATCACCCACAAGGAGCATACTAGTGGCATTTAATGCTTTATGTTGGTGATGTCACACCTCATGTAGATAATGTCTCATCCTTCCTAATTATCAAAAATACCCTTACTAAAAATATTGTATTACAAAGCAAGGGTATATAAATGTCCAAAATTTATTGAGAATGTTCTATAGTGTGAGTACCCTAACACAACCCTTTATTATTTATCCATAAATTTTCATATCCAAAGGGAATGTCATCCAAGGTTATGTTTTTCTGCGGTCCCTTTTCCTAGCATTTTTCATAACTTGTTAACAAGATGGCAATGAGAGAACCTTTTAAGGCGTGGGTAGCAGTTTTGGGAAACTCCAAACTAGGGTGGCAGTTTTGGGTTGAGGAAAACAAGCATGGCACAATTGATGGTTTCCCTTTTATCTTTTATTATCTCAAGAGCTGCAAGTTTTCCCCAGTGATTATCCTAGGATGCAATTCTCTTTCTTTTTCTGTATTTGAAATGCTGTGCTGGTTTTTGAAACAGGTGGCCGATTTTGGATTATCCAAAGAAGAGGTCTATGATGGACGCAACTCTGGATTAAAGGGCACATATGGGTACATGGACCCCGATTATATGTCAACGAGCACGTTCACAAAGAAGAGTGATGTTTACAGCTTTGGCATCATAATGTTTGAGCTCATCACTGCCATAAATCCACAGCAAGGTTTAATGGATTATGTCAATCTTGTAAGATCCAGACCTTGCATAGTTTCTTTTCTTCTTTTCCCTCTTTTTGGGGCTTTTATTTTTTCCGCTTTATTTTCACCACTTGGATTTTCATCTAGAAGCCATTTCTAGAATTTTTTTTTGTGTACCTATATAGATCGGCTAAATCTGTATGCATGGTGAAAACTCAAACAAAACACCCCTGATTGGACTTCGATAATAGAACAGAGGGAAGCTACCTTCAATGCAACTAAGAAATTTGTGCTTTAATTTTGTGAGACTTTCTCATCAGACTTTTTTTTAATGATCTGACAATTTGCCAGGCGGCCATGAGTGCAAATGGTAAAGTGGGGTGGGACGAAATACTTGACAAGGAGCTTGTTGGCAAGTGTGACCCCGAAGAAGTTGGTACTATGGCGAGCATCGCTTACAAATGTGTGCAAAAATCTCCTAGAAAGCGGCCTAACATAGCAGAAGTCTCTCAAGCTTTGTCGAGGATAAGGCAGATCCGGCTTCGTAGAGAAGGATCCCCATCTTTCATAGGTGGTGAAATAATCCATGTTGTGAAGCGAATAGAGCGACAGCAGATTGAATTAAGCAACATGACCAGCATCAAAGGAGTTTAGGGATGATAGATACTATGCACAAAGATGAGAGAGAGGAAGTGGGGGACAGATGAAGCAAGGAGCTTCATTCACAGTTTGCAGGCCTTACTGTGGTCTGGTGTAGGGTAAGGGAAGAAGTTTTTCTAGTTGTAAGTATATATATTTGGATGAGCCATGGTTTTTTCCTTCAAAATTAAACGGCTGGCTTTTGCCACATGAAGTGTAACAACTGTCTCTCTCCCTCTAAGGTAAAGTCGGAACCGATCCTGACTTGGGTTGGGTTCAAGTCAATTGAACCCCGCCTGACTTGGGTTGGGTATAAAAATTCTCTCTCTATCTTTCTCTCTCTCTCATATTCTCAACATTTCTTGCAATGCGACTCCCAGATGGGCCTTTTTGGAAAATTGGTCATCCGAGTGTGCGCTTGAAAATAGAGTATACTATGATCCATATGATCATAGAAAAGCTTTGGTCATACATGTTATCGTCGGTGGTGATACTCAATCATGGGAGCATGCCATGACCAGGTGGTAGGTCTTACATTAGATTTGTACATCAGTTGTGTGGACTGTGGACGGATACACACTATTTAAGTTTTTCCATGGACATAGGGATCATTGTTTACCAATAGATATGCACATTCATAGGAAAAGCTGATGGAGAAAAGCACTGAGTAAATCTAGGTCTGGGTCGACCCGAACCCAACTGGGTCTAAGGTAAAGTCAGCTCCGATCTGAGCCGCGTCGGATATGAATCTATACATAATAAATACAAAGAATTCTTTAAATATTTTGGAAAATGTTTTCATAGGGCTGCAACCCGTTGCCATTACTCGGTGTTTGTGGGTTTTAGAGAGAGATTTAGACAGAGATGGAGTATGGGTATAGGTGGGTATGAACTCTTAAAGTGCTCTTCACTATTACGTTTGTGCCTAACCTCAAGCAAAACAGGAGTACCGCAATTGGAATCCTTCCTCTCCTTTTTCTCTCTCTAGTGCAGTAGCCGCCCTTTCCTCTAGTGCAATAGCTCTCTCAGTTTTTGCACTTGCTTTCTCTCTCTAGGGGTTCTCTCTTTTTTTGCAGTTGCTTTCTCTCTCTCTCTCTCTCTCTCTCTCTAGGATTGCCATGAGGCAGTAGTTCCTGTTAAGAAAAGCCTTGTTCAACTCACATGGCCAAGACTTATCTTACTTCTTGGGGTGGCAGGAGTACGAGAAGAACGCCTACGATCAGATCAAGAACCCAAGTGGAACTATACAAATGGGCCTTGCAGAAAACCAGCTTGCGTACAAATTCTCTCTCTCTCTCTCTCTCTCTCTCTCTCTCTCTAACTTGTTTCTCTCTCGAAAATGAGTGAGGCAATGAAGTATGGATTGATGGACATGGAAGGGCAGTCGACGTTCGTTAAGAGTTGGGGGAGGGGCGAGAGGAGGGGTGTCTAGATGTAGACCTGGACCTGATAGGGTCAAACCATTGGATCAATCGAACACATTTCCCAGTCCTATTGGCAATGGGCCAAGGCCCAGCTAAGCCATCGCCTGGACTAACATATATTGCTAGGAAGGATGTGATTGGGTTGAGATCAGGGCCTAGATTAGCATATGTTGCTAGGTAGGTCCTGACCATGTTCAGGAGATCATGGTCTGCCTTGAGCCCCTACCAGCAGGATGGGTCATGGCTTGGACCCTTTGAATTGGCCCAAGCCCAGCCCATGAATAGACCAAGGCTTTGGCCGAGTGGGGCAGGCCCTCGCCCCGGCCATTGCCAACCCTAGACTCAATTAATGACGTAATGGAATTGATGGTCCTGCTCACCCCTGCATTGAGGACAAGGATAAAGGGTGTACATTATAATTGCTATAGAAATATTCTGAACCTCAAACTTGTGTTAGACCATTGGTTAAGTCATGCGTGAGGTCCCTAAGCTGATTGAATAGAATCAAAGGTCCACTAGAGGAAACCTTTGTGTTCAAAGGAAATCATTTTTCAGAGCTAGATCTACACCCCCAATCTCCCGGTTCAGGTCAAGACCCAGGAGTTGGACCTGAGTGGGTCTAGGTCTAATCTTGGACCCCCTACGTCGGGTCTAGTTGCGGTCAACCTAACCTGCGGGGTGCACCTAGATCTAGGTCTACCACTAGGACCCTGTGGGTGGGGTCCTTGTACCGAGACCCAATAGGGTCCCAATTGACTCTAGTTTGGGGTCAGATTAAGACCTAACCTTATTGACAACCCTAATATCAACCAATAGTCAAAAAGAAGAAGTAAAAATAAAAATAAAAAGAAAAAATATCCTATAGGGCACTCAAGGGGTCAAAAGATAACATATTAAGTATGTTTTTAAGTTGTTATATCAATTAGGTATATCCTAAAAAAAAAGGTTAAAAATTTCAAATTTGTTCTTATTCTGTATTTGAAATGTGGAATATTCAAGAGCATTTTTATCACTTAATACAAACAAGATAGTGTTGCCTAATGATGAAATTACCTTCAATAGTTTAGCATCAAGAAGGTGGAACATATTTTCAGAGTTCCTGAGCTCGAACAATGGGGGTAATTATGTGGCTAAATAGTGCTGTTTTCTTTAAAAATACATGTCCCATGTTTCTAATATTGAACTTTGAGGGGCAAGATGATCTTTTCGCTCGATTTAGTTGCCGGAGAAATAAGACCATTTTAGCCCTTGTTGTTCAGCATTGTATTTTTTTCCCTATGGGAACTTTTCACTCTTCTTTACTAAAGTGGAACAAATCATTTGATCATTGAAAGAGACTCCAACAATATCATAAACTGGTGAAATGGCTTGTCAAAACCTCCTTGGCGGCTACTTTCTCTATGGAAAAAAACAATGGATCTAGCATCGGGCAAGAGGTGCTCTTTCAATCATGTCTATAGATAAGCTAATTCCATTGCAGATGAATTGGCAAAGAAATGAATCTTTTTAGACTCATTACTAGTATATTGTTTTAATTTTTCCATTGTAATCACTCTGTTTACTTAATAATATTCACTACTCTTGTCAAAAAAAAAAAAGAAGCTCAAGGGCATTTTTGGAAATAGCACAAATGCCATGCATGTACCAAATGACAATAATAACTCTGAATATTCGGCAGTTCAAATACTGAACATAAGGAATTTGAGAATTTTTCTCATAACATAAGCAATTTGAGAATTTTTCAACATTTTTTGAGAACGTGATTGATTTTTTAAACTGAAAGGCATATACCCTCAAATGTAATTTGTTATCTTTTTTAACCCTTTATTGGTATTGCCATAGGGCTTCCCCTTTTTGATATTTTTCCAAAGAAAAAAAAAGATGTTTCTAATAGAAATTATCTAAAATACCAATATAAATTATTCATGGACAAAGTGTAGTAATCTCTATGCTTGTAGTAAGTATGCGCTCTGCACCTAGTGCCAACCAACAAAAAGCTTTAGCGCGTGTTCGTTGGTATTTCCTAGAAAATCGTTATGTTACCTTAAAATAGGAAATATATGTATTTCCTGGAAAATCATTCTGTTATCTTAAAATACGAAATATATGCGACGGACTATTTAAGTTGGTTCAATTTTCTCTCATATTTTTTTTACAAGATTAAAAAAAAAAAATCTCTCATATATTTTATCTAGACAAAAGTTAAAAAGCAATTAATCACGCAAAATTTTCGAGTAGATTTATAGGTTATTAATTTATAAGAATTCTTTTTATCTAGAGCCAACAAATGGTCTGTTTCAATAAACTCCTAGCACACAAATGCGTGATGTAGATTAGAGACCAGAGAGAATGGTAAGGATTTCCTTTTAAGCGTCACTGGACCTTTGAACCAATATTTTGATTTTATTATTTCTTATCTAAGTTAGTTCAATTTATTATTTTGTATTTAATGGGCATTCCTGGTCTAAGAATAGTGAGGTTAAACTTTCCCTCAACCCATCCCAAGTCTAGGTTGAAACGAAAAAAGAAAGTGGATTGTATTAAAGTAAGCATGTCGAAATTTCTCATGAATCCTATAAGATAGGATTCGTATTAGGATAGGATTTGTGTAGTCGATCCCAATTAATTGGAAAAAGACTTTAATAATGATTTACTAAGCATTCCAACAAAAAATAGAATCGGTCTAGATTGATTTCCAATTTGGATCGGTAATTCCCAATCTGCATAGGTGGCCATCAATCGAAAATTTCGAAGTATCTTACACTTGACAGTGAAAACAGAATCAAATAAGCAAATAGTGAGGGAGGAAAATTCTATTAATTGAAAGGCGCGAAAAAGCAAAAGTAGCTAGGCATGACAATGGTTACTGAAACCATTCACAAGGGCCTGTCAAAAAGTCTCTCATTACACTATTTTAAATCTCAATTGCTGAAGAAAAAGCACCATTAAATGTGTATTTTTGTAAACCTCAAATGCAAAACCCTAATTCTTACATGACACATTAAAAACTAAAAATTCCAAAAAAGAACCTAAAAAAGCAAAGTTTATGATCAATTTAACTAGCACATCTGTTATCAATTACTTGCAAATTGCTTTCCCGTCTCAATTTAAGAGATATGTTTAAAAAATCAATGACATTTCTTTTCAATTTCAAAATGCTGATTTTGCCTTAAGATTGTATTTTTTCTTTTCTTTTCTTTTCTTTTTCCTACTGAGGTTGGGTGCTAGCATATTTTCCCTTAGTATATACAGCAGAGAGAGATTGTCCTTTCGACAAAGTGATTATGATACAAGGTATACAACTCAGTTGTTCTAGAAATTTTCTTTGTGGAATTCAAACTTTGTATTCATCCTATGATTGAACTCATGGGTGAGGGCTTTCAACTCCTTGGCTAGAATTAGAGGTCCACAGTAGAAAACCCCTGCATTGATAAAAAACACATAATAGTATCAATGAACCACAGTAATCTATAGCCATCAAGATGCACTTATTCTAAACATTACCTACACAGCCATATAATTTTTCATTAATTTATGTAGAATATAGTCTTTAATTTAGTGTTATTAATTGAGCAGTAACAACTCAACCATCAAAGCCAAAAACACATTTGGAATTCTTTTCTTGGTGAACAAGATCAGAAACTCCCTTTTTTTCCCTCACTTTCAGAAGCTAGGTTTATCTTGAAACTTCGAAGAAAGTTGGCTACTCACCGATCCGAGCATCTTTGTTCTTCGAAGCAACCTTGGAAAAAACCCCCTTCCAGTTCGGCCGAGCAAAGTGTGTCTTAACCTGCGAATGTTTGCCGGAAAGTCACTGTGTTATACTGAAATACAGTTTTCCAGCAAGATAGTTCCATAGTTTCCGTGTTTTTCATGAAAAGAAAATGAATTGCAGATTGGTTTTCTAAACATGTTTTACTAATGTAACATAACTATTTGTCGTACCATAAAACATTTTTAAAACCTTTGGTTATATTGAATTATATACCTTGTAGATTATTGGCCAAAATGAACCTACCTATACCTCTGAGTGCACATGGAAATAGACACACATAGTCATGGGTGCGTCGGATGTATGTGTCTGTACAAATCTATGTGTGGATAATTTTGATTGGTTCACAACATAGGATGCCAATACAATAGAATTTACTTCATATATGCTTTTTTCTGAATGTATTGCATTGATTTCATAGTAGATACACAAACCAGTGTTCAGAAACTTAGCACATTCAACTCGGACTCACCAAAGTTACGTGGACTAGGCATGCTGCCAAGTCTGGAACCCAAATCAGGGGAACCAGCCGAGACTCGCCGTGTCCCATGATTTTATTGTTAACTTTTTTAGGACTTGGTAGAGTCTCTAAGAGTCGCGGCCAAATGGAGATGCCTGACTCGGGCTCAGGACTCTACATCAGAACCCGTCTCCATGATTTAAAACAGTACACAACTACTGATTGCTGACTATATTAAGAGACAGATCACATAAAAATGACTAATTTAGTGACAAAAGGAAAAGAAAAAAGATAAAGAATAATGGTTAAATTATAGATACAAGAGAAGAGCAAAAAGAAGACTCACTCTTGTTCCTGACACTATATCGAGGCCATTCTTAGCATGATTAAGTTCTTGCAACATGGTTATCAAGGCAGATCGCGCATCACCCTCCTCATATACACTGGTGAGATAGTTATGCATCTCAATCACGGCATTGTGATCTATCTCGGCAATTTCATTCATCACTCCCTTAAACCACTCGAATGACCCTTGTTCCCTCGTTACCCAGTAGAAAAATGCACGTGTGGGCCCATCACGTTCCCTCTTTCTCTTCTTTGCCTGAAAGTCTCGACTCCACCCTTGAAATTCTTGTTCAAGATCTAAAAGATTCCTCAAGGTGTCAATTTTAGCACAGGACATACTCTCCTTTCGCTCTTGGAACTTCATGTGGTTAAGCATGTCCTTAAGTATGCTTATGAATGGAGTTGCACCAATCCCAATACCAATTAGCATAAGGACATCGTAATTTTTATGATTTTGTGCAGGAGCTCCATATGGCCCATCAATTCTCAATTCTGGCAACCTGTATATTTGATTGAGTTCAAGGTAATGTCAAAGTGAAAATTTAAAAAGAATCCACCACAATTGTAATAATGTATAGTTTGAATTTGAAACAAATACTATACGAACTTCGATTTTGCTCTTTCATCACAGCAGCGGTTGTCAGCTCTCAGAAGTCCACTCATGCCAATAGGAGGCGGCCTCATTTTCTGTTTGAACATATTGTTTTTCATAAGCAAATTGATCACATTTTTGTGACAATAGGAAGAACATGAAATTCAACAGAACAGTTTTCTTCTCTACATATCATGGTTCTAAAATGTGAGATTCACAACTTGGATTCGACTTGTTGATGTATGAGAATGGACCCTGCAGAAAATCTGCCTACATATTTCTGTGGGAAATGCCCACTACTGCTGGATCATATCCAGTTTTGTGATAAACAAGTATTAAGAAAGTAGAACATGAATCCCAATCCTTATGTCAAGGCTGAATAGGTTTCCAGCTCATATGGACCTTTCCCTGCATCAACACCATCAGGCAATTCTTCAACAAGAACCTCTTCTTTCTTCCTTTTGAGATCTCAAAAAGAAAAAATAATAATTATAAGAATAGACCTCTAGAAGTAGTGATTGCAAGTGTCCTAAGAAATGTTCCACAACTTTTAATCCTTGAATTGCAAATTTCCCAGGGTGCATATGGTAAAATGACAATTTCAACCAATCGCCTTGGCCGAGTACAAGTGGACTGGGCCGAGCAAGCCTTAAATAGATTAAAAAAATAAGAAATTTTCGAAAAGAATAAGCTTAAAAACTGATTTGAAAAAACAACCTTAAAAACTCTAAATAAGCTTGCATATAAATAATTTATTTTAAAAAAAGATTCATAGCCGGAGAAATTTAAAAAAAATCCAAAAAAAAAAGAAACTATAAAAATAGAGATTATGCCGAAAAGCTCACCAATCTTTGCCAAAAAATCCAAACTATATAAAAAAAATTCCATATTTTTTACAATTTTTTGGGAATTTTTTTTAAAAAAATTATTAACCCAAGTTGTACCATAACTTGAGTATAGGGCGAGGCCAAGTACTGAGTCCAAGTGGAACCAGGCGAGTCCCATAATACTGATTTCAACCCTCTGAACTCCTGATGGTGAAAGTGATTTTGCCAACCCTTAAGAATTTTCAGGTGGCAAATATATTTTTTGATAAGTACCTCAGAAAACAATCTTCTCATCTCTTGTGTCCAATCCCCACTTGTTCTAATATGCACACTTATGTGTTCATCATCGGGAGCAGAAGTGATTGAAAATGGATGCCTGAAACCAGTACGTTTCATCACAAATTCTTGACAAGAACAAAAGACACCAACAAATAAGGCAAGAAAGATCTAGTGATTTCTTAGAAATGAAAACAACAAATCATAGAAATGAAACCGAATCAAACCTTCAATTACCATTGGAAGGTTGAAATCTGAGGACACTGCAAGAAAATGTACATCCCACTCTTGTATTTGAATCTACGTGGTTTCGTCATGTGCAGTGCAAGAACATTTCCAGGATAAATTGCAGCCTAGCATTAAAGAAGAAACTATAAAATCATAAAAAGGTTAGAACTAATCTAGTTAATTTCAAAATTAAGTCGAAAAACTAAGTATTTTCGTGGATATTCATAAAGATACTAAGAAATGCTTGAAAGTTGTTAAAGTAGCTTTAGAGTAATTAAGAGGCTTGAGAAAGATAACAAAATAAAGTAATTAAGGTCGAAAGAAGTAAAATTCCTGCACAAGATCAATGGCATCAAAGATGCCCAAGGAATGTCAGATTTATTTCTTTGAACAGCAAGGTGCATATAGCATACTCCTGTGGGAGTAGATTTTACACCTACGCCCACATGCAATTTATGCTATTAGAGTGATTCGTTTGATCTGAAATGTTGGGAACTAACTGAGCATTACCAAATGAACAACTTCAGATTGAATTCCTGTAACACCTATATGTAACAGTCCAAAAGAAGGACAGTTCATGTTAACTCTGAGGATGGGATTTTTCTAATGTATAACAAATTCAATGTTATTTTTTGTTTTAAATTGGTTTCTGGGATGAGTAGAGAACATCCTCAAAACTTGGGGTCAAGAAAGTTCCCCCCAATCAGGTATTTCCCCAGGGAACCCCTTCTGCTGAACTACTCCAACAAATAAATAGACTTATAAATCTTGCTTTGTAATTGTAAACCCTCAAAGGGTACTAATGCTATACTAAGTATAATTAAGAGGACCATATAAGTATCTTACATGCAAGACATTTTCCTGTCCCATGTGAGTGAAAGCAGTTGCACTCACAAGGGAAAATTTAAACTTTACCGAAGAACAAAAGGATTTAGTACTTAGATAAAGGTTGACTACCTTAAGGATATCAACAGTGTATCTTCCAGCCCGAAGTGCTCTCAAAATTCTCTCACCACAATATAGAATTATTGGGACAGCAATGTACATCCATGTCTGCAACAATACCAAATAGTTAGTAGAACTGGTATGGGACGAAGGGTAAAAATGCATCCCCAGCTGTGTTCCCCTTAAAATAAAATACACCCCCATAAAGGAAAATACACCATGACAGTAGGAAAGCTATGGTCGTAGGAGTTATCGCAGTCCAGTCAATTGATGGACAGTGATGCAGATAAAAGAGGAACCACGAGAACATGACATGACCCGAAACATAGGGCCCCACTCTGTCTCCCTCTGTGACCATCCATCCATTGATTGGACCATGACACACACTTGTTATCGTTGCCGGTCATATGGATCATGCACGTATTTTTTATGGAAGAAAAACAGGGTACACACTCCCTCAAAACATTTTAAAGTGACCAAAATGTTCACCCTCACCGTCTTTTGCCTCCATTCCTTGTTAAGGTAGAGGAACCATGAGTGAACGATGAGCAACACATAGACAATGGCAAATGAATGGTGCGAATACCAAAAGGCATTGAAGCCGGTGACTCGATCCAACGGCCACGGAAGCCTAATCGACTTCCTCCTAAACCACGAGGTAGCTAATAAGAAGGCAACAGCCATCAAAATGACCATGGCTATCCCTGTTACTCCGACCACACCCTTCAAAAGGTCAACGTAAGTAGGCCTTTTGTTCCCAAAATACATTTGGAGATATTCCTCATAGTCATGTTCATTTGCATGGGTGAGCCTCGGAAAATCACATAGTAGATGGCTAAGCACATGCACGAGGACCCCCATGGCGATGCCTCCTGCAATGGTCTGAATGTGAGGGGCAGTTTAGTCATTATAGAGACAAAAAATATGCAATGCTTATTAGGTAATTTTTATATTTATATTTGTGATTATTTTGGTGAACTTAGTGAGAAACACATGGCCCCCAATTCTGGTCTGTTGGATTTAAAAAAAAAAAACAAAGTTCAATATTCAATGGTTCAAAAAAAAGAAAAGGAAGAAAAGTGATATATTTGGGCAATTTGAAAGTTGACTTCCGAGCGAGTCCAACTCAGTGTGTATTCTGGATGGTTCGAAGGTGGACTTTCGAACGGCCCAAACATGTCATTGTTCTTAGTTGTTTCAAAACACCCAAATATATCAATTTCTTAGGTTTTGGGTGGTTTGAAGGCTGTACTTTCTATGGGTAAACTAGAATAAGGAAATTAAAAAAGGTAGTACTTCATGCCCAAAATTAGACATGCAGTAAGGCAGTGGTCTTTTTTTCCAGTCCCAATTGAAAAACATGGGACATACCTAAATATCCATTCATGTTTCAAATCAATCAATCAATCAATCTCTCTCTCTCTCTC